CAGTGCTGCCCAAATCTCTTTAGGATTGTGATGGGCGTGGTTGCTCTTAACAAGCTGCTGAACTTGAGCTTGGGTCTCTAGGAGATTCTGTTATGCTATATCATAAAGCTTGTAGGAGACAATTATTATCTTGCAGTGAGGAAGAAAGAACATTATCTAGTAACTCACCTTACAAAATCGAACAAGGCCCATGAAAATGACATTGTTTTTGTTTCTGGCAACTAGGAGTATGTTGCTGGCGACATTCTTTCTTATCAATGTCCTTATGAAGAAAGTGCACCAAGTGATCGATAATATTCTAGGAAGCACGGATACGAATATGTGACACGGGTACGATACGATACGGATACGACGATACGACAAAACTTAAAAAAATAGGATACGGATACGACCATTATATGTTTATAATAAAATATATTTTATATTTTACTATTATTTAACGTCTTAGAAATTATAATTTTTCAATAATTTTTTAACATTAGTAAGCACAATTAGAATTTTTACCATGAAATGGATGTAATATCGTCTCATTATGATATGTTTATAAAAGGAGCATAACCAATTGAAGGAATCATAACCACATATAACTAGTTGATGTTACAAGTATTTATTTTTAAAAGGATAGTGTAAGTGACTTTTTTTTTTATACTCTTTTAACGTGTTATAATATATAATACTTAAAAAATCCTCGTGTCTTCAAAATCAGATGAAATTTTGTTGATGTTTTATATTGTATGTGAACTTCAAAGAAGGGGTATAACTTAAAATTAAAAATTGTACATCTTGCTTCATATTTAGAAGTATCTACGAAGTATCCACATATTTTATTAATTATCGTATATGGATGATGCATATTTGATGCGTATTTGATACGTATCATCGAGTATCCAACAAGTATCATATCTAATACAGTATAAGATACGGGTACGTCAACCTTGACGAAGTATACATGTTTCATAGACAATATTACTTTTCTTTAAAGAAAAAATCTTTCTCTTATGTACTTACTAATTCTTTTAACACAGGCGAAACTGTGAAGGGAAGAATCCTAGAGCGATCGATATAGATGGAGGAGCTGAAGAGGGTGTGGAACTTCAATGACTGACTATTTTCCAAGCCGCCCATACTCAGCTCGGGTACACTCCGACCTACATGTCATTCATCGACATTCCTTCTGACCTAATGCCACTTTTGCTCACGATCGCTAGCCTATTTAGTCTGCTCGGGACTAAAACCCAAGTTCTCGTAAGAAGGCTTCATCTGGCCCCTCAGGGAGAAACAAACCAAAAAGAAATTTTCTTGCGTTTTTTTCTTCTGTCAAGACACTTGCGCCAGTGCAAATCCCTGCCAAACCCGTCAAATCTGCTTTAGTTGATCTTGCAGAGGCTGATAACACGGCTTGTTTGGAGGAGCCTTTGGTTGGCTCAACTTATGTTTTTGATTGATACTATCCCCGAATCTCTTCTCCAATCTGAACCACCGTCTACCTCTTCCAAGCTCGTCCTTTCTCTTGTTGATCTTCCATAACCTATCCTCGTACTACCAGATGATCCTACCTCTAAGAAACATAAGACTTCAGAGCCTGAAGCTATTCCTTTTGAGCATGCTATTCCCCCTTTTAGACCTATCTTGAAGGCTAAAAGGAGAGAAATCACTATAAGAGATTCTGCTGTCGAAGATTTCAACGTGGCAGTGGGAATAGCTAGAGGTGTGATCCTTCCTCGAGACTTAGCTGCAAATGAGGCGCTGTCAAATGATGAGATCACGTGACAGGCTATTTAGCAAATGGTTATGGTATTTTTCCACTCCATTTGGTTCTTTTTTAAAAAGTCTTTAATTTTTTTAAAAAAAAATTTGTTCACCTTCCTTGTGCTTTGCAGGGACTTCAAAAGGTTCATGAAGTTGGGGTGAGGATCGCAAGGAAGGACAAGGCCATGGAAAAGGCTATTCATGATCGCATGTCTGCTTTGGCAAAGAAAGAGTTTACTGATGAAGAGTATGCCAAGCTTTGTGAGGAGATGTTGGTTCTTCAGGCTCAGATGCTTAGCTTGACTGATGAGAACAAGAAGCTTGCTACAGAGGTAGAAAATTTGAAGGCATTAGAAAATGCGGCCAACGTCAAGCTTACCTAAACCCAGTTTGACCACTCCAACCTTTTGGAGGAGTTTGAGCGATTCAAGGTTGAAGCTAAAGATTTGGAAGATTCGGCCTTTGAACAGGGGATGGGGAAAACAGAAAATGACTTGGCTTCATAAATGCCTACCTTGGAAAAGGCATACTTTGCCAAAGGTTGGCATGCTTTACTATTCGCTACAGATGTATCCTAATCTTCAGAGCTCTATACTCGTCCCTCTGCAAGTTCATTTGAGCCTTAGCCGACCTGATAACAACTGTTTCGCAAAACATTCTAAAGTTGACTTTTTTTTTTATAATGAAGTCCCTTTTTATCTAATTTCTTTGCATTCATTCTTTTCTCAGTAATTTTTAGTTAGTTCTATCGTAGCTTGCCATTAGGTAAGGATCTTTATTTAAAAAGCTCGGTCCCAAAGCAGGGATTTTTCGACACTTGTAATGCATTTTGTTCTTAAGAAGTTTCGGCCCTTACTCGGCCTTCCTTTAAAGAGTTCGGTCCCAAAGTAGGGATCTTATGATATAATTAAGTTTTGCTATTAAGAAGTTATGGTCTTTGCTCGGCCTTTCTTCAAGGAACTCGGTCCCAAAGCAGGGACCTCTCGATACTTAGGATAGATTTTTCTCAAAGAATTTATAAACCTTACTCTGTCTTTCTTCAAAGAGCTAGGTCCCAAAGAAGAGACCTCATGATACTTAGCATAAATTTTGCTCTAAGAAGTTGACCCTTACTCGACCTTTCTTTAAAGAGTTTGGTCCCAAAATAGGGACTTCACAATACTTAGCATAAATTTAGCTCTAAGAAATTATGACCCTTACTCGGCCTTTCCTCAAAGAGCTCGGTCCCAAAGTAGGGAGCTTGCGATAATTGGCATAAATTTTGCTCTAAGAATTTATAGCCCTTACTCGGGCTTTTCTTCAAAGAGCTTGTTTTGTTGCTGCTTAGAAACTAAGACTTGGTCCCCTTGGGTCCTTAAGAGTCTATTCTAGATATTTACCGACCCGTTGATCTAATTAGACTCAGATGATTACCCAATCGGTTTACATTGTCATGCCTAACTGTGGGTCTAGATATGATCAAGCGGCTCCGCTCGATTTAAGCTCTTGTTTCTATTAGAATTTTTGCCTCCCTGTCTTGAAAATAGGATGGGCTTAACATACTTGGACTATATCTTCAAAATTTTAAGAAAATCTTTATTCAAAAATTTGGAATTTTTTCTAAGTACACAAGAAAATACTTCTTGACTTGCTTTCGAGAGAAACGACCCATAGAGGGCACCCCTATTTTTCGAAGGCACTTCAGAGTTCGTATTTACAAAGGTAATTTAGAAATAAAACTTTTATAGGTTAGATGAATTTCACGGTCACGGCGTTGCTTGATGGGCCAAAGTTTCAAGCTCGTAAGATCCGATTCCTCCTACTCAGACCACCTTGTATGGTCCTTCCCAATTAGCACCTAGCTTTCCATGTGTTGGATTTCTAATTGAACCTAGAATTCATTTGAGTACTATTTCACCAGTGAAAAAAACGCGAGGGCTAACCTTCATGTTATAGGCCTGAGACATTTGTTGTTGATAGGATGCAATCTGTATTGTCGTTGACTCTCTCCTCTCTTTAAACAAGTCTAACTCCTGAGCAATTGCAATGTTATTGCCCCCACTAGTGACTACGTCAATTCAGAGAGTCGGTAACCCGACCTCCAATGGTATCACAGCCTCGAGGGAGAATGGTGTTTTGCCAGTTGAGCGTCGCTACGTTATTTGGTACGTCCATAGAATGATTTGTAACTCCCCACCCCACCTACCTTTTGCACTTTCCAACCATTTTTTGATCCTGTTTAGGATGGTTTGTTTGAGATTTCATCTTGACAGTTGCTCTGAGGGTAAGTCGGAGTGGAGTAATGATTTCCAATTCCATATTGCTAGTGAAAGGCTCTGAAGGGTCCACTTTCAAATTAAGTCCCATTGTTTGACACAAGGATAGTGGGTATGCCAAAGCTTTCAATAATGTTTTCCCACACAAACCTCCTCGTGTCAGTGTCCCGTATATTTGATAGGGGCTCGGTCTTCACCCACTTTGTGAAGTAATTAGTTGCTATGAGTAAGAATTGCTTGTTTCTAGGGGCCCGCAACAACAGTCCTACTATATCCAATCCCCATTGTGCTAACGGCCACGGACTAGAAAGTAGAATCAAATCTTGGGCATACTTTTTGGGTATTGGAGAAAATACCTGGTATTTTTTACAATGCCTAACAAATTGCTAAGCGTTTTTTTGCATATATGGCCACTAAAAACCCTAGAAAAGAGCTCAGTGGGCTAGTGACCTTCTGCCGATACATGTGCCACAACTGCCTTCGTGGATTTTGGATAAAAAATCTTAAACCAACCCTGGATGAATGTATCTTGGGTATGGCCCACCAAGTGAGCGTCGATAAAGCTCTCCTTTTGGGGATAGCCAGAACCTAGCCGCCTTCAATCGCCACTTATGAGCCAATTTCCTATCTTCTGGTAAGTCCCCACCTTTCAGATAAGCGATAATTGATTCCATCCAACTCAGTTGTAAATCACCGGAGAGGACCTCTTCTGATAATAATGCTGTAATACTTGACTTGGCTTTGAACTCAACTATGACAGTTCTCTCATTCCCCCCATCAATGGCCAAGGCTAAGGAAGCCAGTACGTCGATGTGGGAGTTCTAGGCTCGCGCTACCTATTGAATGGAGTACTCTAGGACACGACTTAGTTCCTTCTCTGCCATTGCGTGGTAAGCCACCATTCTCTCGTCTTTTGCCATATAATCCCTTAATATCTGATTCACCACTAGCTGTGAGTCAAAGGATGACTAAAGCAAGTCAAAACCTCGACGGAGGATGGCCGGAGTAGGTTTGAACATCACTGAAGGATGACTGGGACAAGTCAGAACATCGCAAAAGGGCGACTAGAAGGTCGTTAGAGGATGACTGGGGCAGGTTAGAACGTCATCGAAGGACAACCAAAAAGTTGTCTAAGTTTGTCAAAGGATGGTCGAGAGGCAATCGGATCATTGCCAGAGAACGACTGAAATGGTGCTGGAGATCGTCGGTGCAGCACCGACCTCTGGCTTTGAAGGATGGTCGGAATGTCACGTGGGAGAATGAACGAAAGAGGTACCAAAAGAGGCTGTCGGAGGACAGCTCAAAGGAGAAGAGCCTCAAGAGTTTTGATATGAAGGATCCCTCGCGGGGCAAACACAAAACATACTATCTTTGGCCAGAAAAACCCATGATCTTAAACTCTGATACCATGTGAGAGAAGAGAATAGTAAACGAATATCAATTGTATATTTCTTTGGTGTACCTTACTATATACATGATGAAATTGATTTATAGTACAAGAGGTTAGTGAGGTTTTCTACTCTAACTGATGTAGGACAAACATATAAACATTAACAATCCTTATAGTCTATGAACGCTTGAATCATGAGAATCCTTGAATTTTTTTTTTAAAAAAAATGTACACCATGGTTAACAATACTAACACTATCATTGAAGGTGATCCACAAAATTTACCATTAGGTTGAAGGTATTATCAGATGAATGGAGGTTGGACAATTTGATTCTTAATGAGATGGAATTTTTTATGGATCACCGACAATGAGAGGTTGCTTCAATTTGTGTGTTTTGTGCATTGCTAATTTTCAATTTTATGCTTGAACATTTTATGAAATCTCATGTTCTTTGATTTGTCTTTGATTAATTATCACATACATGAATTTTTCAATACCATCATTAGTAAATTAGCTGCTTCAATTTAGCAGCTTAATAGCCATGAGACAGACAATGATATTTTTATCATACCATCCGAACATGAATTCTCTTTTACACTTCTCCACTCTCTTTTCTCCTTCCATTGAGAATTAGCACTCTTTTGTCCATATGTAAGATAAATTTTGAAATAAAAAATAAAATAATTTTCTTTGACTTTAATTTCTCTTTTTGGTTGAAGTGTCACACACAAAGAAGCAATTAACATGGCAGTGGATTGATACCTCTACTATCTAACTCATGTATGTAAATTTTATTTTGTGCATTAAGTTAGACAATGAACTTATGTTCACTGAATTAGCGCATTTGTTAGTGATATTCGGTACTTTGCTAATATCCTTAATTTATGGTTTTTACACAAGTCTAGGGCTCTAAACAGAGTAGCTCATTGGGTTGCAGCTATGAAATTATCTAACTCAATTACATTGAATTGGATAGGCTATCCTCCTCCGGAGCTAAAGGCTTTTTTGTCAAATGATTGTATCAACACTTTCCAATGTAATGATATATTGAATGGCGGATATTTCAAAACTTATGTTCACTGACCCCAAAAAAAAAAAAAATTATGTTATGTTTCATTTGCTTATGTGATATATTGATTTAAATGAAATATTTCTTAATTGATTCAAACTTGTGAGGGACAAAGTATACCTGTTTGGTGAGCTAACATTACTAACATAATTATAATTTAAAATGATTCACATGCATCTCATGACTTTACTACATAATTTTCATATTAAAAATTAGGGATTTTTCACACTTTACATGCTAAAAGGTATCTCGATTCCTACTTTGCACCCCAAAGATTATTTTTCTCACATTGCATCCTGAATGTCATAAATTGATTCGAATGTGGCCCTCAGATTAATATATATATATATATATATATATATATATATATTATTTGAATTGGATATAGTATTGTTATTTAAACCTAAAAATTTGATCTAATTTATTGACCTAATGATGTAGTTTCATTGTAATTATTGTATTAACACTAAATTTCAATATTTTATAGGACTCATATTCAATTTATGATTATAATAAATTATGTTAATAAATTATGTTCAAATACCATTGCTTGTTTGACTCATATTCAATTTGGGTGAGATCTTAACGGGTTGATACGCCAAATACGTTTAATAAACGGATCATATTCAGGTTGACCTGGAAAACTATTTATCACACGTTTACCTGTTTAAATAAAATTAATATAATAATAAATTAATAATTATTTTAAAAAATTATCAAGAAAAAAAGAAGTAAAGAAATCAATGAAAAAAAGAAGAAGTAAAGTTCAAAGACAAAGGCAAATTAATGCCTTTTGTTTTTGTCCCACGTTGAAAAATAAGGGGAGATGAGGAGGGCTAAGTTGCCTATAAAACACAATGACCTCTTTTTATTTTTTTTTATTTTAAGCCTTCGAGTCTTATTTTTATAAGATTTGACTAAAAATTCATCTTCTTTGAAGTAAGTGCAATTGACAGTAAAAAAAGGTGGAGTATTAAAATTTGTTGATATAATTTTTTTAAAAATTAAACGGGTTAAACGAGTCTTATCGTGCTACCCATTTATTAAATGAGTCGTGTTCGTGTTGAGATTTTTTACCCGTTTATTAAACGTGTCGTGTACGAGTTTATATATTTTCCACCCGTCACTCGTTTAACTCGACATGTAACCGTTTAACTCCAAACCTTTGAAACCCCTACTAATGCCTAGGGCTATCAAAATCTGACATGATACGATTAACAGACACAAATTAAGCAAGGTTGGGTGAAATCTTAACAGGTTCGAGTGATAAACGGGTTGATACGCCAAACACGTTTAATAAACAGGTCGTGTTTGGGTGAGACCTGTCAAATCGTTTATCACGCATTTACCCGTTTAAATAAAATTAATATAATAATAAATTAATAATTATTTAAAAAAAATTAGCAAGAAAAAAAGAAGTAAAGAAATCAATAAAAAAAAAGAAGTAAAGTAGTAAAGTAGTAGTTTAAAGACAAAGGAGAGGAGATGAGGAGTACTTCAAAGACAAAGACAAAACAATGCCTTTTGTTTTTGTCCCATATTGGAAAATGTTTTGATGACTTGTATTCCAAGTCAATTGTTTTTATTTGGACTCTAATTGAAGACATGCGTTTTTCATTGGAAGCCTTGGTAGAAAAGTTTGGCTTTAATTAAGATTATGTTGATTTCATTATTTTAATGGAGTTTAGTCCAACATGGACTATTGTTGTTTAAAGTCCAAGCCTTCAAAGAGTGGTTTTTGTTTTTTGTCCAACACGTAAGACCTCACCATGAAGACATTCTGAAAGAATCAAATTCCTTAGTCCAGAAGCTTGATAAAAAGGGCGTCTTCTCCAGTGAGTTGCGGGTTGGCCATCAATGACGGTACAAGAGTTTTCTTTGTGTGTGATAAATTGGTATTGCTCTATTTTGTTAAATCCAATAAATATTGTACAATTGGAATAGAGCAGATATCTAGTTTTCTAGTTGATTTGTTTCGAGAACGTTGTAATCTCCAATTCTTTAATAGTGAAATCTTGCTGATGTGTTTCCTTCGTAGACGTATGCTTGCTTGTTGAGTTGAACCATATAAATCTTTGTGTTCTATTTTTCTATTTCGTTGTGTTATTATTTTGCTTGTGGTCTTTGTTCATAACAAATTGGTATCATAGCTATTGATTTCAGGATGACTACAGCTTGGGGTGTTCAAATTCCTCATTGGCTATAATTTCTTACCCTACTCGACCCTATCCTACCCTACTGAGCGGCTAGCCGCAAAAATTGGGTAGGAATGCGGAATACTCATCAATTTTTGCATTTCTACCCTACCCTACCCGCAAAAAATATATTTAATTTTTTAATATTTTTTTTAGTAATTATAAGAGTATTTGTGTGGTGTAATTTATATTATAACGTTGTTATTGTTATGGATGTTTGAGTTGCAAAAACATAGACTTATTTTTTGTGTAGGTTACATGATTTGTGGTGAACTAGTGATCTATTAGAGCAGTTATGATTTTAATGTATTTTATATGGTTTAAATTTAAAATAATTGTTATTGTATTTGTGTAACAATTATGATGAATTGATGTTCATGCTATCTTATGTTTTATTGTAATGTTGTTGCAGGTGTTTTAGATTTTAGTGTTATTGATTTATTGTGTTGTTAAATTGATGCATGTTATTTAATTGAATTGTTAAAATGATCCAAAAATTAATAGTTACAAATGTGTTTACCCGAGTTCCTACCCGATTAATCGGATAGAAAGTCGGGTAGGAATACCACACCTGATCGGGTAGGGTAGACTAAGAAAAAATTCTTCTGCAAAGTATCGGGTATGAAGACAAAAAACAACATTTCCTACCCGTAAGGTAGGGTGAACACCCTTAGCTACAGCAAAATTTGAGATAGAAAAATTTGATGGTTAGAAAATTTTCAGTTTATGGCAGATCAAGATGAAGGCATTGCTTCATTAGCAGGGGGTTTGACAAAGGCCATTGATGGAACTTTATCCAAGGAGACAGATTAGACAAAAGTTGCTGATATTGAAGAAAAAACACACAGTACAATTCAGTTGTCTCTTTCTGATGAAGTTCTTCATGAGGTTATCGATGAAGACAAAGCCGAAGGGCTATGGAAAAAGTTGAAGAGTTTATATATGAATAAGTCTCTCACCAATCACTTGTATCTGAAGCAACGGTTGTACACACTCAAGATGAAGGAAGGTACACCCATTAATGAACATCTTGATGAATTTAACAAAATTATTATTGACTTAAAAAATATTGATATTAAAATTGGGGATGAAGATCAAGCCCTGATTGTGTTATGCTCGCTGCCTGATTCGTTTGATAATTTTGTTAATTCGATGTTGTATGGGAGAGACTCAATCTCTTTAGTTGATGTAAAATCCTCTTTGAATTCTAAGAAATTGAGTATTAAATTGAATGGTAAGGGCAGTGATGCTCAGGCCGAGGGTTTATTTGTGAAGGGTCATCATGATAATTCATCTAATAATAATAGAGGTCAATCCGTTGAAAGAAATTCAGATAAAGGAAAAGAAAAATCTGGATATCGATCAAAGTCTAGGAAGAAACAGAATAATGCTGAATGTTTTTTATTGTCATAAAATTACTCATTATAAGCATGATTGTTTTAAGTTGAAAAATAAAGGGGAATAGAAAAAAATCAAATTCTTTCGATTCCTCTAGTGTTGCTGGTGTTGCAAAAAATACATCTGATGGTTCAGATAATGTTCTTACAGTCTCTGATGGATGTTTTAATGATGAATGAATTATTGATTCGGGTTGTTCCTATCATATGTACCCTAGTAGGGATTGGTTTATCACATATGAGTCAATCAATGGTGGTTCAGTCTTGATGGAAAATAATATTGCTTGTAAGACTGTTGGAATAGGTACTATCCGAATTAAGACACATGATGGGGTTATGAGGACTTTGAAAGATGTACGACA